ATTTTAAATAAGTTGACTTGAGTTGAGCTAATTTATACAATTGTTTAAGTTAGAATGGAAGAAAATTTACTCTGTACTTTATTAAAAAATATTTAATATGTAAATTAGATATACATAAAGTTATAGACGGATTTTGTGACCATATCGTTATGCTAATATTTTACATGCAACAAAATTAACAAGCTAATTATGAGCGTTTTTGGCAACACTTCTAGTAAATTTTGAATTAATCAAATGGCAAATACATGAAGCGGTTGGTTAGAACCACATGAGTATTAAGTTATAAGGGTGTTGGTTTAGTAGCTTATTGCATGCATCTCTGATCAAGAACCACCTTGTACAATAAGGAATTAGTTGCTGTCACATTATAAGTCTATAATCGTTTGAATAACAAGTATAGTTAAATAATAATAATTATTTTCTTTGTACTTAAGATATGGAACCACTATTTGCAGTACAGAAGATAACTTTAATCTGATTTTTAATTTAGGTATGTACATTTTCAACCCGAGCATTCTAAATAGAATAGAATTACGACCTACAAGTATTGAAAAAGAAGTTTTTCCAACCATGGTAACAGAAGGTCAGTTATATGCCATGCCACTTTCAGGTTATTGGATGGATGTTGGACAGCCAAAAGATTTTTTGACAGGTATATGCTGTTATATTTTAACCTGTTTCTAATATATCCTGAACTGGTTTTCAGAAATATCTTTTTATTTTGTAAACATCTGCATTGCTTTGGGACAGTAGAAATATTTAAACTTGCAATAATTAAAAAGAATCATTAGGTATAGACAACGTTTAGTTAGTTCAAACAAAAATAAAATATTTAAAGCATTCTTTACATTATAAATACCACAAAATTTTCTAGATCCCCTCGTAAGCTGTCTTGTCTTCGAACATTTGATTGATACTTAAATTATATTAATCACAATAGAACGTCTTGCTTCAGACAAATTTTATACTTTTTGAAACAAGAAACTGTAATTTTTATGTGACCACAAAACCTCTGTATATATTTTAAGCTCCTGAGTTTCAACTTAGCCTAGAATAGACCCTCCACCAACCAGTTTTCCTGCTAGAAGCAAAATAAACGCAAACAAAATTTTTATTGTAATAAACAGATAATCCTTGAAACCTAATTGATTATAGAAACTCTATATTTTTATTATCTTGGACTTCAACCAATAAACTGTTGTAACTTTTATATCTTGAAACGCTCATCTAGTTTTATTGCAGCCAAACAAATTTGACTTAAAGTTTCATCCAGTACACTGCAAATATACACAAAAAGAGCCGTTAATCAATTTTATTTATTGAGTGGTATGGTATTTTACCAAAACTTGTAAAATGTTAGCAAAAATTGATTGTTGAATCGCATATTAATAATTTAGACAGTTGGAATTCAGATTTGGAAGTGACAAATTAAAAGAAAACATTTGCTGCGTAAAACAAAAAATAATATAAATTAGGATACTTGGGAAAAATATCTTACATTCGCAGAACAGTGTAGAATTAATCAAAACTTAGCAGACTGACATTTTTTATCAGTGAAAAAATATTTTCAATACACGATACATACTTGATATTCAAGCTTTGTTTTAATATTAAAACCATTTTAAGGGAGTATCTCCCTTATTGATTAGATACGATGTAGAAAACTGTAGTACCGGCATAACTTGTATCCGTTGTATACGTTTCGTGTGCTCTCGAAGAAGGTCGGAAATCTCCCGCGTGGCAGCCAGGCTCTCGTAGTTCAGTTGAAAAGTCGGCCATTGAACACAGAACGAACAAAACTAGATCTTTCCACGCAGACGGCATTTTGTCAACAGTTTCCGTTCCCCGCTGGATCAAGAAAGCTTGATAATCAAACTCGTCATCAAGCAGTGAATCCTCTCTCCCACTAGAGTGAATTCAGTAAGATCTTTTTAATTGTCCTCTTTGTTTGAGGTAGTATTTTGTTATTTGTTATTAAAAGCTCAAACTCCTCGAACAACGCTTTCAATCGTTGTTTCGTGGCAGTTAGCTGTTTATTAATTTTATGCGCATACGCGTCTCAAATTTCCTCGAGACATTCTCTTGACTATTGTAAGTTATATTTTGACTAATAAACAATTTTGGTTCGTTTAAAATATTGTCGTTGATATTGAGCTTCAATCTCCTTTGATTAAAAAAAAAACAGGGAAATTATAATTTTTGAAGGAGAAACATTTCCTGATGTAAGTAGAAGATCCTCAAAGGATAAAAAAAGGAAATAAAAAAAACTGGTGATTTCGATTCGTGACTTTGAAAATTTGAGCCACGAGAAAAAGCCATAGCAATTTTTCAACTATTTACATGGTAGCTGTCGTCTACTACTTTCATTATGAACGACTTGTTGAAAGCGCAACTGAAGTTATATGGATTTCTATCCAACTTTTATGTAAACACGGTCAGCAAAACTCTAGTAGAAAATCAGAATGCTACGTACTATAAGGCTCGTCTGGATTTGCTCAAGTCGTATTGGACAAAATTCGAATCGAATAACGAAAAGCTGATAACGATAGAAGACGAAAACCCAAATACTCCTTACTTTAAAGAGGAAATTTATATAACAGGGGAGACTGAATACGTCAGCACATTAAGTCGTACTCGTGATTTAATTTACCAGCTCGAGCCGCCCGCGATGACCGCTGGTCCGAACCCTATCGTTCAAAACTTTACGGCCGCTGCGCCTAATCTAATGCTTTCTGCTATTTCGCTTCCAACTTTCTCTGGAAATCAAGCTGAGTGGGAGAGTTTTAAGCAGCGTTTTTGCTCCCTCATTAAAGATAAGGCCAGTATATCTGGTGTAGAGAAGTTACAACACTTACTTACCGTGGTACAGGGTCCGGCCGCTCAACGATTAAAGGGACTTGACGTGACCGAGACCAACTTCGACGTTGCGTGGGGAAAGCTCTTACGCCGTTACGATAATCCGCGTATCCGTCTCTCGTCCACGCTAGAGAATTTAATGAAACTCCCGGAGGATAAATCCCGTAATATACAGGATCTTTACGAGATTATAGACCGAACCGAGGAAGCTGTTCGCGTGTTGCGTGATTTGAATTGTCCTATCGATCACTATGACAATTGGACAGTGCATTGCATAGTCCGCAAGCTAGACGTTAACACACGCGAGGCTTGGGAGATATCTCAGGGAGCCATTAAAGGGTTTTCGACTTATGATTCAATTTTCAAATTTTTAGAAAAACGGATTCAAACCTTAGAGCAGGCTTATTCTTCAAACGACAATCAGGGGTAGCAGAATAAGCGGGGTTCGTCGTCTCGTTCTTCTAATCGTGTCACGGCTCATAACACGCAAACGGTTGATTCATCGAGCTCAAAAGCTACGCCGTCATGTGACCTTTGCCAAGGTAATCATTGGTTGAATCGTTGCCGTCAATTCAACGCAAAAACCCCAGCTCAGAGATGTGAATTATGTAAAAGCTTAAAGCTCTGTTTGAATTGTTTGAGGAAGGGGCATTTTTCAAGTAAATGTTCTTCGCCTAACCGCTGTCTTACGTGCCACGCCGTGCACCATACAAAATTGCACATGGATGGCAGCTCATCGAATAAATCGTCAAGCAACCGCGAAAATAAACCTGGAGATAATGGTCCGGACACACCCGGTCTTGATGTTAATTTAGACGGTGAAGGTTCTCAGGTAGCTTCGCATAGTGTTTCTGTCGGTGCTTCAGTCTTATTAGCGACTGCTCGCATAAAAATCTCTAATTCATTTGGAAAATCGCTAACGATTCGTGCTTTGATTGATCCTTGCGCAGAGAGATGTTTCATCACACGACGTACCGTGCAGCATTTAAGTTTAGATACTGAAAAAACCTCACTTTCAGTGATTGGCGTGGGAACTGAGGCACCGGCCAAATGCAACACGGTTGCGCAGGGTATTTTGCAATCTAGTTCAGATCGGAATTTCGCGATGGGATTTTTCGCTCGAGTTCTGAATGAGCTTACGGGTTGTCTACCCAAGGAGAAAGTTACTCAAGGGCATTGGCCTCATATTAATGGTCTGACTTTAGTCGATCCCCAATTCGCAGTGCCGACGTATACTCCACTTTGATTCTGGATGGCATAAAAAAAGGTCCGATCAATTCACCACTAGCTGAACAGTCTGTCTTCGGCTGGTTATTGACTGGAGCCGTATCGCCTTCGCCTGTAAAAGATTCGTCCAAGTTGGTTCGCTCATTTCATGTGGTTGCGGAACCATCACTTTCACAGCAACTTGCAACGTTTTGGGAGATTGAAGAGGTGCCCCGTAAGGTTCCTTTATCCCCAGACGAGGACTTTAGCGAGATGCATTTTTCGAGCACGTATTTTCGCGATGAGAACGGGCGTTTTGTGGTCCGTTTGCCATTTGCCAAGCGTCCTAATTTGGTTGGTTCCCGCGACCTAGCTGCAGCCTGTTTGCGTCATTCTGAGCGACGATTGCAGAAGAATCCTCAACTCGCTGCTTGTTATCAAGCATTTATGCTCGAGTACATCGAGTTAGGGGACATATAGTTAGTTCCTCCTCAAGTTCCGAACCCTTCGTATTATCTGCCCTATCATCAGTTGTTAAGCCAGACAATCTTGAAAAATTACGTGTCGTTTTCAACGCTTCTCATAAGGCTAAAAATGGTCTTTCCTTGAATGATGTACTCTTGCCTGGACCGAAATTGCAGGCTAATATCTTAATCGTATTAACGCTTTGGTGACGGTTCAAGTTTGTGTTTATAGCTGACGTGATCAAGATGTTTCGACAGATAGGGATTTATCCAGCTGATTCTGACTGGCAAGGAGTTCTGTGGAGGCAGGATGAATCGCAACCAATGCAAGATTATCGGTGTGTCACGGTGACCTACGGCACTGCTTCTGCCCCATATCTCTCGCTTCGGGTCATGAAGCACTTTTCGCTCGATGGTGCCCATGATTATCCTGAGGCAGCTGTCATCCTTCAACAGATGCTGTATGTTGATGACAATTTTTGCCGGCGCAGACTCTGTGGACGATGCTCTTCGTAAGCGAGATCAGCTTGTGGCGTTACTTGGAACGGCTTGCATGGAACTCATCAAGTGGGCGGCTAACGAGGATCAATTATTGTTAGGCTTACAATCCAATGCTTACAAGATGGAGGTAACAGTAAAAAACACCGAGGTAATCTCAACTTGGGTCTTAAATGGTTGCCAGGCGAGGATACCTTTACTTTTTCAGTTAATACTGCATTTCAAGCTCTACAAGTCACTAAGCGTTCGGTTTTATCTGAAATAGCCAGATTATGTGACCCACTTGGCTGGCTGGCACCTACAATTATTGTAGCTAAAGTTTTAATGCAAGACTTATGGCTTGATAACCTCGAGTGCCGGACTCTTTACAGGATAGGTGGTTGCAGTTCAGGGCTGAGCTTCCAAATATCTCTCTCATTCGGATCCCAAGGTGGCTTAACACAACTGAGAAGGAAGAGTGGTATCTCCATGGGTTTGCTGACGCATCGCAGAGAGCATACGCAGCTGCTCTTTACTCTGTCGTACCAGGTCATCAGCCTATGCTTCTGTTGGCGAAGACTAAGGTCGCACCAACGAAGGTTCAGTCACTGCCGAGGTTGGAGCTCTGCGCTGCTACCCTGCTGGCACG